GGGGGGGGGTTTTTTAATGTTTTTTTTTAACATAATCTCTGGTTTATTAAAACCAGGAGTTAATGCATTATTCTAGATATTCTGATATCCACGACTCTAAAGTTTTCAGCTCTGTTTAAATAACACAATAAATTGATATATAATCCATTTCTTCCAGATAAAGGTTTTAAACGTACAGTTTAAATAGGGCATTTCAAGCTTTGCAAAGAAGTGTACTATAATGCGATTTCAGTGCATTATACTCATTGTTATTTGAATCACCTAATTATGGTAAAGTAAGTAAAAACGAAATGATTTTCTCATCCGTATATCTTTGCAACCTGAAGCTGTAGAGGTTTGATTTTTGTTAACTTTTGATATTGTATATCACAGAATTCCTAAACTAAATTTCATGAATATAGCAGTTCGGAAATGATTTTTTTTGGAATAAATCAATTAGTTCACGATTTTAAGATGAGAAATTTTTAGATATGCTGCATTGAAGAAAAGACTGACTTTTGATGATCCTGATGCTGGTAAATACTTAAAATACTTATTAATATATTTTACTTATTATTTATTTGCTTATTAGTTATTTACGGCGTTTCGTGTTTAATGTTTAAAATCAGAAAAAATATAATTTTTAAATAAATTTGTTGTTAAGTTCCCTACAAAATAATAAGGTTAATCAAGATTTATCAAAAAAAATTGTAAGGTAATTTGGTTATACGGTTTTGCCTGGTAAAGCTGAAATATATACAATTCAATAGATTTTGAAATCAATTTCTTAAATGAATATTGGTTTAAGAAACAAATATATATGCTTGATCATATAATTTTATTCTTATACTATTGATAGGTATCAACAAAGTTTTAAACTCTTACAACAAATTTTGATTTGCTAATCCTTACGTTGTATGGATTGTATCAAATTTTTTTTTAGCCCTACATTTGTACGGATTGTACTGATTGTATGTTTTTTTTTCATTACACTGATTGTAAGGATTTTTTGCAAGGACACGCTCATTTTCCCTGCTGTTGACTCATTTCAGCAAATTTTCCATGAAAATAAAAAATAATTATTCAAAAAAAAAAGATTTATTTGTTCTCTGTGACTCAACAAATACCTTAATTTTTCAAAGAAAATATCTTGTTTTTAAATTTTTATTAAGGCGACTTTCTGATTGTTAATAAATTTCAGGTAGCCGGGCATAACGTTGTAGAACTGTACAACAAATATCTAGAACGTCTCAAAACCTTTGTAGCTCATGAACTCGCCAACTGACACTGATTCGAAACTGTCTGAGCGCTGTAGAGCTCGTCCTTACTTTACCCCCTGGACCAGCTCAGTCTCCGGGTCCCTGGGAGTACCGGAAGTACTGGCCTGAAAGGCTCAAGTCCTTGGACAAAATCAAACCCCGGGCCCAGGCAGTTTCTCTTGACCCAAAACGAGTTTGAGACCTGAATATCATTGGTAACATCTGGCCCACGTCGGATACTCGAATCAGAAAAATGGTTCAATTCGGTTCTCAAGAGATCAGCTCCGACCTCTCGGGTCCATTTTACCGACGGAGGACGGATGTTGAACGACAAGTATCTGATGTCTCCGTAACCCCTTCTGACTGTTTTCAATCTATCTCAATGTCAGAGAAACTGTTGTAGTAGAATTCTCAACACTCATATCATCCACCCTGCTCGAAGCACCATGTAAACTGTACAGAACTGAGAGCATACTTTAGACAATGCATATACTAGTTTAATGAAGTGTTTTGATGTCGTAAAAAGGTAAATTTCAAGGTCACCCCTGAGATTTTTTTAAGCATTTTTGATATTGTTTTTTGTTAAATTTTTTTTTTGTTGTGAAGATGCAAATGAAAAGAAATGATACTTTACTTACATCATCATTTTTTGTTACATTCTTTCCCCTTTTCCTGTCCCCCCATCTTCCTTTTCTCTTTTTATTATTATTATTTTTGATTGTATGTCAGTAGTAAGGTATATAGACGATTTTCAATCAATCAATCCAGAAGGGTTACATGGTTACATCAGAATTTTACAAATTTTTTTTTGCGGCATTTGTACAGACTTAGACTAGACGCAAAACATAAAACGTGGATAGTAAACTTCAAAATAAAACGAATAGTTTTCGTGAGAAAATCGTACGCCATGAGTCACTTTAGTGGGGTTTTACAGCTCACGGATTTGGACGATTTTATTACCCCGTCTCAAGAATGTATAAAACCTGTGAAAGTTGAAAAGAAGGTTGCAGGGAGCCGTGGCGGGGCTAAAATTCAAATAGAGGAGGACGGGTCTTACATAGAAGAAAATGATTTAGGAGAAAAGAAGAAATTAGAGAAAGTAAGTAATAAAAATTGATAATTCTTATGTAAATCCAAATCCTCCCAAGTTATCATTTGAAATGTAACCAATATATTACCGGGTATATTCCTAGAGAACGATTTTGGACCCCCCGCCCCCCCCCACNGGGGCAAAAAGCCTTCTAGTATAATTAACTTATATTTATCTTGAACATGTCTTACGCGCGTTCTGATTCCTTTAGATTAATATTGCATTTTGTAGGATGTATTACTTCGGCAGAGACAATTCTGATTGAGCAGCAAAGTAATCAGCAAATTTACAAAATTCTCAGGCATTTTTAACAATTTTTAAAGAGATATTTTTCAAAGATAAGACCGCCAAGGAAGAAAGGGTCAGGATAAGAAATAATTACTTATCTCTTTTTTCTATCAGTTCAGATTTGGGGTTTAAGAAAAAAAGTTTTTTTACTGTTTTAGTTTGCCCCTTGGATCCGGATCCTAAGTATAGGTTCCTACGTTGTCCTTTAGGAAACACGCAAACCGAAAATTCGAGAAAAAAATTTTCTTCAAAGATTTTACGTTAAATGGAAACTTGTTTTAAAAACAGAGAAAAAGAAGAAAAGAAAGATGATCCTCCTTTTATAGTTTTCAGTGTTGCTATCCAACCCATCATATCTCTCAGGTAAAGATATTTATTATTTTCCTAGGAAATNCAGCGCATGGCCGAGAAATTGTCTTCACCTAACCTAAAACAAAATAAAGTGATAGACAGCATATTATTTAAAATTTAAGTAGCCGCAGTGCTCGGCCCCTTAGTCTATACTAGCCGCAGTGCTCGGCCTAGAAATTGTCTAAAACAATACCAAACCAATATTAATTTCATGTTGAAATAAAATTCTTTTAATTTTAGCGCTAGATATAAACTTACTCCTGAGGTGACTGCCAGAAAACTTGTCACATTTTTCAAGGTATTTTTGTATGAATATTAGAATAATTCTAAATTATTGAATTTAGAAGGCTTGAAGTAAATTAAATAACTATGCGGATCCAATTGGTCAAAAACCTAATTCTGAACTGCTGAATAAATAGAGAGAGATTATCTAAAATGTCCACATTTCTGAGTAGTTCATCAAGTTTTAACCAAACAAAAAATCTGTAAATTTTAAAAAGAAATATTTATGACCTGGATCCGGATTTGGATTCAAAATTGAATGGATCCTAAGCACTGGCTTATACATATCTAATTTTTTAGAAACTTGGAGCGGATTTGGTTTTAGATCTGAAGATTGCTGAAGATTTATCTATCCTAGAACAACAACAGGAGTTTCTAAACAGATATAGAGAGAGGAAGGAGGGACAAAAACATCCTGGTTAATTGGATTTTAATAATAATAGGAATAAAAAAGGTTTGGGAGGCCCTCAGCTACGTGATTTCCCTCTCAATTTATCTTTCCTCCCTTAATCTCCCGGTTAAGTAGTAATTAATAGTTATTACAGACTTTTTACCATCATTAATGACCATACAGATGGAGGTGAATGTGAATGTACTTAACGCCTCTTATGGGAAATTAAAAAATTTACAAAGTCATGGGTTCCCTCGACCAATATTGTCTTAAAAATGTCACTTGCTGCACTCTGTACGTTTTGTAGGCAACATTGGCTTGAAAACCCCTGGTTAAGTAAAATTCCCATAGTTTCCCTGTAAAATAGTTGTAAATAGTTATTATTCACGGCGTAGGATTTACTTATACTTTTATGCGGATTTGTTCCTCTAAAAATGGATTTAATACTATAGATTCTGAAAATAAAGATTTTTCTGTTTAAATTCTAATTTTTTTATCTTTCATATTTCTAGGTCCTATTCTGAGCTCAAGTTGTCCTGGGTGGATTTGCTACGCAGAAAAGACGCATGGATCCTGGATTCTTAATAACATTTCTAGGTATACACTAAACAACATAATTGCAAATCTTATAGCGTTTCCGACACTAAAAAATCACCCTTCCCCCCCCCCTTTTTTTTTAAATTAGCTCTACATCATAGCACCGTGCTACAAAGTTAATTATCGTGCTATAATGCAAAATTAGCTGTATATTATAGCACTGTGGTATTAAGTAATCATCGTGAATTAAAGTTAAATTAGCTCTACATCATAGCACCGTGCTATTAAGTAATCATCGTGAATTAAAGTTAAATTAGCTCTACATAATAGCACCGTGCTACTAAGTTAATTATCGTGTTATAAGGCAAAATTAGCTGTATATTAAAGCACCGTCCCATAAATTAATCAAGTTTTAATGTTAAATTAGCTGTATATTATGCGCCGTGCTAAACAATTTTGATTGGTTTAGGGATTTTCTCTAAAAGAAATAAGGATATTTCTAGTTTTTTAAAATTTAATAGAGAAAAACAAAGGAATTTATCTTTAAATAATTTTGTAGAAACTGGAGGCATCTCGGGAAGATTTTTACTCTGATGTGATTGAATGTAGAGATGTGGACTGCGTGGTCACATCATTAGAAATACAGGTTTAAAACTAGAATATATTTCATCAAAACTCATATTTTTTTTATTTAAAGGGACTGTAAGTGTAATTTCCAGTGACCCTCTTTGCACAGATGACTATGGCTGATTTACAACTGTACCCTTCTGATAAAAAATGTGGAAGATACCTTCGTTTTTCTGACTCGAGAAGTGTAGATTTCTGTGTGTTTCTCCGTTGCTTAAATAACTTTAGCAGAGAAACCGCAAATGAAAATAAACACTTTCAATGAAAAGAAAATGTTGATATCTAACCCATATTGGCCGATAAAGAATGCTTTTAAGATTAACGTTTTAAATCGGGCATTGCCATCTTTGCATGGAGGGTCATTTGAAATTACGCTTACAGTCCCTTTTTCAGTCTTCATTTTTGCATGTAGAGGGACATAACATTATGCTTACAGTCTCTTTAAAAACATATATATTTTTGATTTCTTTTCTAATTTCAAAGATTTTTTCTTGTTTTTTTTCATCCACTTAAAACCCAATTTCTAGGAAATGATCGAAAATGAAGATTTCAAGGTGGATTTTCAGAGTCTAGAAGAAACAGACCTGGACACCCTGGTCCCTGGTCCTGCAGAGTTAATAGTTAATACAGGTGGGATACAGGGGTGTATATTTTTCTCAATGTGACATCAAATGGCAATTTTTTTTCATTCTTTTTTAATCCATTTTACCCATAGTTAAAATTATTCCCCCTAAAATCATTACAAATTTTATTTTTAACTTTGGGGATCAAGTTGTATTTGCTTAAAAGGGGGGGTTAAATTATTTTTAGAGGAAACATACGCCCCTTGTGGGATACGTTCACATTTGGCTAAACCCCAAGCAGACAAGGATAAGTGGCTGGAGCTTGACCCTGGAGCTCAACGTACCATAGCCTTTAGGACATGATACTTAGACTGTAGGTTGAATGTTAATAATAATAATAATAATACTAATAATAATAATAACAGGATGTAAAACTTTCATGATAAAGAAATGAATAAACTTGAAGAAATATCATGAGCTGAATTCGGATACATTTTTTGTATAAAGATCATTAAGATCCATTTACTTTTGATCCGGATCCTGGATCCGCACTAGAATAAAATGGTTATCCGGATCCAGGTTATGAATATTTCTTTAAAAAATTTCAAATTTTTTTTCCTGTGGGATGCTAACACTCGATGAAATTTTCATAGATGAGGAGACTTATAAATAATCTCTTTTTTGACAGTCCAGATTTGGGTTTTGAGAGAATTTTCCCCTTGGATCCAGGAAGCCAAAATGTTGCAGATCCGAGGAATCCTAAGCACTGCATAAACATTGTGTTTTTTTGGTCTAAAAATCAATCTAAATATTGTAAAGGTTCCGGCTCCGGAGGATACTCAGACCACGTGTTTAGAGCAGCTGCTGGCCAGATCTTTAGGAACAGATTTATTCATAAAAAATTAAATTTGTCGAAATTGTACAGAATTATGCAGAATTGCGTAGAATTACGCGGAATTGCGCGCAAGTAAAGTTTACTTGCGTTGGAATCCCTACTCAGTACTTCCGTAATGTAACTGATAACTCGCCTCATACTCTCATTTTCTAATTAGTAATTCTATTATTTTGTTTGATTTGTTTTTGGTTGTGGGTTAACTCTAATATGCAAAGGCCAATATTTGTAAAATTAATCTGTAGTAAGGAAATCTCCAGTATTCAGTACACTACTCTTAAAAATCAGGATTTTATGGAAGTAAGTGGATAAAATAAAAATGGGAAATTGACTTTTTATACATTTGTTATTTTAGGTATCTTTGGAACAGGATGGACGTGTCTTGCTGAAGTTTTGTATAGCAAATGGATTTAGAAACATTCAAAATTTAGTTCAAAAGATGAAAAGGAACATATATATTTAAATATAATATTTAAATCCATTTTTTTTACGTTCTAAGAAAGAAGTTCATAAAGACGATGAAAACTTTTTAGAGCACATTTTCGTTTTTTTTGTGTCCTTCGATCTATTTCGTGAAAAACGAATGTCAGTTTCTCCGTAATTAACAGTAATTATTTGGAATCTATTTAAATGTACCATTCTTACTTTAAACTTATGGAGGGATAAAAAGTTGATTGAATTATTTCCTTAATACATATGATGAACCCAGAAAGCGATGTGATTATGATTTTGTTGAAATTATGGCTTGTCCGAGCGGTTGCTTGAATGGAGGTGCTCAACTAAGGTAATGGGGAAGGGAACATAGTGAATAAATACTGTAAAAATCAGTGCTTAGGATCCATTTAATTTTGATGCGGATCCGGATCCTTAGCAATGGTAAAAATGTGGAATTGAGAAAACTAGGAGGACAAAAGTTATGATTCGGCAAACATGTGAAGATTAAAATAGTAAAGTTTAAGAATTAAAATAAACTTTAAAAGAAAGATCTTGCATTATTCTGTCAATACCAATTGTATTTTTAATGAGTATTTGACATGCCTTCTTCATTCTTTACTGTAACTAATATCAAATCTGCTATCTCTTCAATAGATGGATTGGAAGGGCATACAATATACAGTACCTTTAAGAATTATTAAGAAATAAGCTGAAGTTTGCAAGTGAGACCAGCAATTTGTTGCTAGTTGCAAATCAATTGATCTGATTGAATGATAGATGCATTGATTGATTGATTGATTGATTGATTGATTGATTGATTGATTCAGACCTGAAGGTGAGCAGACAAGCAAGGAACTCATAACCTGGCTCCAGGAGCAGTATACAAACATGAAAACCTGTTTGCCAGAGGAGAATGTTTTACTGAATAAAGTCGTATCTGCCTGGTTCCAGGGGGACCTGGAGAAACGTCAACACCACCTCTACACTGAGTACCATGAGGTTGAGAAAATGACGAATGCGCTCGCCATCAAGTGGTGAACTTCGCAATTCATGGTTCTTTCATCTTATTTACGGGTCTGTAAGCGTGACCCTTCATTCAAGGATGGCAGTACCCTTAAAAGCTTTGTCTGGTCAAGTATGATCTAGAAAATAGATATCCATGTTTTAATTTCTTTAAACTGTTTATTTTCATTTGCGGTTTCTCTAATGGAAAGTGACCGGCGCATTATCGGTTATATGAAGCAATAGAGAAATGAGGTCTTCCACAGTTTTAATCAGATTAAGGTTTCAAATCGGACGTTGTCATCTTTGCATTGAGGGCCACTTGCTCTGTATGCTAACAGTACTTTTTGTACTCAGTACTCGAAAGCCATAAGATAATTCTAAGAAATTAAAATTAACAATGCAAAAAGTAAAATCCTTGTAACTACATTAAAAGGACTGTATTCATAAGTTCAAGTGACTTTTTCATATATGCATAAGCATTAAGCATTTCTGATTCACAACGGTACTAATTTAACCTTTGTGTGATATCCTGAATATTGCTGAATGAGATATCCTTCCTGTTAAGATAAAAAAAACGATATATGATTCTGCTCTTTTTAGTAACATCTTCAGTTCCTTTAAAGAGGTTGAATTTTTTTTTATAGTTTTAACCAACCAGATTCGGCCATTGTATATCCTAAACAGTGTTATTATATTCCCATGTATCTGTGATAGTTAAAATACGTAGAAGTTTCTAGACTATGCAATTATTTCAGAAGAAGAATGGCGGTGAATATTCGAGTAAAAGTCCATCCCGTTGTCTTATTCCAGATTGCGGACTCATACGAACGAAGGTCCCAGGAGAACCACAGGTACTAACACAATTCTGGTTATTTTTTAATATATTTAATGAAAGCTTCATATTCAAGTTTCATTTCAATTTTCAAATCTAAGTTTTTTTTTTTTTTATTTATTGATGGATATTGCATGAAAATGGTTGAACTATAATTGTATCCATTAAGGAATTTTAAAACTAGACTTTTAGTCGCGCCCTCCCTCGCCTGTGAATAATTTTGTTCTTAACTGTGCTCTGAAAGTCGACTATTTAAAATCATTTTCAAATATTGGCGGATTTTTCTCTTTGAATTGGCGCATTTTCAAAACGGAAAAGTAAAATTATATATATAGAAAAACTAGGCCCATTTTCTTATTCAACTGTGAACATTTTCTTTTGTATACATTTTAAGTACTAAACCAAAAAAGTTGGCGATAATATAAAAAAAAATTGTGAATTTTCAAAATTTACCGACAATCGAATTTTTTTGAAGGCTAAGTTTTGAAATTCTGATCATTCATGAACCTTAGTTGGGGTCATGTAAGGTTCAACACAAAATTTGGGCCCTATGGGTTTTAGCCGTTTCAACGTTTATTGGATTCAAACAAACAGACAGACAGGCAAGCAAAGTATATGAAAGATATTTTTTTATGGTAGCATATGATCTTCTTTTTAATAAAGCAAAAATTCACACCCAGGGTTATTGGTACCCTGGTCGGGAGTGTGGACAAGCAGTGTGTCGAGGTGACAAACTGCTTCTGTATACCCCACAAGGAATATGAAGAGAGGGTGGAGGCCGACATTGTCTATGCTCAGGTCAGATATTTACTAATAATTACAATGTAGGTATCATCAATATTGAAACTAAGGCTCTAAGCTAACCGGGGGTTTGTGCAAAAGGCCCCAAAAAAATAATGCTCTCCAAAAAAATCAAAAATTGTCCCTACGGTTCTGATCCGACAGTTTAATGTCGGAGAAATCACTACAAAGACTTCTAAAATAAAAGTTTCATGTTACAAATCATTTTATGCTTACTTCAAATTCGAAAACCATTAAAAATAATGTTAAATAAGCTGAGGCCGTAAAACAGTCCAAAAATTTGGTTTTTCAACTTTTTTAATGTCTTTGGTGTGTTTTCGTTCTCTAGCTCATTTATTTTTTTCTGAATTTTTAAATTAAAATTCAGCATAATGTTTTTTTTGAGGGCTGAGAAAGGATAACCTTTCTCTGAATAAATTAAAACCTATAAATCGTGGTTTAGGACATGTTTGACTTAAATAAGAAAGTAGCACCTCAAGAGATGCTGGTCGGATGGTTTGCAACAGGTATTTTCAAACATTCCAGGAAAATATGAAAATCTCGTCTTTGTGATGAAAAAAATCCTAAGTTTCAGGAATGAATATTTTTAAAAGTAACAATCGGCGCTTAAAAGATAAAATTGTTTGTGAAATATCAATTACATACAAGAGCATCGAATTGAATTCCGACATTTGTAGGTTATAATATCTGAGTGATTAATTAAATATTAATTGAATTATTTACAATCTGAGTGGAATATTGCAACTCTGAATTTATATGGACGCCACGCTCTTGGGACAAAGACGTTTTTAATAATTGTCTCCTCACGCAACAGATAAAAGCAAAGTTAGTAGCGATCAATCGAATCAATTAATTATCAGGCTGTATCCCCTTTTATTTTTTCGCAAACACTCCCTTTAAACTTGTGAAGTGTTCTTATTTCTAATAGTTTTCTAAATGCACAATCTTTAGGAAGTGAAATAACCAGCCACAGTGCTCTTATCCATGATTACTATGCCAGGGAAACTAAGGTCAGGATTTTCAAAGTTGTTAAGGAATAATTAATCTTGTCTATTTTGATTTTGTTGGGAAATCATAGAATTTTAAGGAAAAAGCGTGTATGTTTTATTGAATTTCACACATAAAGGATTAAAAGATAAAAAATAAAATAGCCTTAACGTCCAAAATTTTTTTTACTTCCCCCTAATCTTTGAAATGGGGTTTACTTTCCCCTGGGAGTAGGTTGGGGGGGGGGGAGTGTTTAAGAATTTAAGAATTTGGAAGATTAGTGGGAAAAAATTTAAAATTGGGCATTAAAAGTTTTTTCCAACCTTTTACCTAAAATTTAATTTCTTTTCCCCTAATAACTATTTAAATCAGCTTAGAAAACTCTAAAAAAAATACCCATCTTCTGTGGGGAAAATTTGATTGTCAAAAGAGGGGGGGGTGTGTAGATTCCAATAAATATCTACTCTTGGAAACCTTCCAATTGACAGCTTTTTCTTCTTTATGTTTTAAACATATTCCTTTAACATATTCTATTATTAAATGTATTCTAAACATTGGTTTTATCATGGTCTTCTGATAAATAGTAGTTTTAAATATTTTTCTTACTTGATTTGAAATCAGTTAACTTATTGCAAAATTATCAATATTATTTATTTAATTTATACCATTAAAGGGACTGTAAGGTAAGCGTAGTTTTAATTGACTCTCCATACAAAAATGGCAATGTCCTATTTTCATCAGTTCCCTTAAAAGCTTTGTCTGATCAAGTATGAATTATATATGCATGTTTTGTTAATTTAAACTGTATTTTCATTTGTGGCTTTTTGGCAAAAGTGACTTGCGCCTTTCTTGCATATAAGAAATAATGTAGAAATTAACAGAAATATATATTTTAGATCAGATTAAGGTTTCAATTGAACATGAAATTACGCTAACAGTCCCTTTTATACAATTTATATTTATAAAATTTGTCTAAATCTAGGACCCAATTCACATGACCCTGGACACTACCCTTGTAAATGGTAGGATGACAATGAAGGCCTATGTGTTTGTACCTCTAGGAGTACCTGGAGCAACTTCTGGTTCCATGTTCACTCCGGTTCCAATTGAGGTGAGGAAAATAGTTTTCAGAGTTTCAGTGCTTAAAATCCATTACATTTTGATGCGGATCCTGGATCCGAATTGGGATCCAGGTTATGAACGTTTCTTGGAGATTTTTCAAATTATTTTTCTTCTTTTGATATTTTTGTGCTAAAAGATGAACCCATCAGAGATAAGGACATTTTTGATTATCTGTCTTTTTTCAACAGTTCAGATTTGGGTTGAAAGCAAAAGATTTTTGTTTTCAGTTTTTGATTGGTATTTTGCACCTTGGCGTGGATCCGCATATTTTGGCGAATTTTAATGTTTCTTGTTTTTGTTTTTTAATGTTTTCCATTATTTGGTTTAGATTCATTTTTATTTGCAAATGTTGCCGCTTAAATCTTTTTTTTTCTGGAAAGGAAATGTTACTGACATTACCTTTAAAATAATAAATTTTGCATCTTCTATTTAAAGGGGCGGTAAACGTAATTTCGTGGGAATCATTTTTTTGTCAGATTCATAAAGGTTCTCTTTAAAGCTTTGTATAATCAAGAAAGAATGAGATATTCATCTTTTTAATTCGTTTTCAAATGTAGGATTTCTGCAGTTCTTAATACAGAAACAATGCAGGGAATTGCCAGAGCCAACTCCCTTTTAAGATAAAAGACGACATTTTCCACATTATTTGTCAGATAAAGGTCTAAAAGGTACCGGATTGAAATGGGCCTGATCCTCTTTAAAACGTCAATTGAATTCACAATGACAGGTTTCTTTATATTTAATAATGTCGTCTGTTCCTGGAAACCTTATCAAAATAAAATTGTTAATTTATTTATTTATTAAGGTTACTGCATCTGAGCCTGAGATTGCAGGTCTAGACCTTCTTCACAAAACTAAATACATGAAGGTATGGTTAACATTAATTTTTTAAATAAATATGTTAATTTGTTTTCATAGTTCAGAACTGTGAAAAATAGCTGAATCGTAGCATATTGATCTTTGACTTTTTTTTGCCTCCAATCTGTCAATATTTCCATAATCTTAAGAGATTTTTTCTCAATTCATCGGATTACGAAATATACGGATTAGTATAAACTCAAGAGATTCTAAACAATGGTTTCTCCATAACAGTGTAAAGTTTTATGTCTAAAGATTTAAAGCATACCGCTTTGTGCTCTTGGAGACACTTCGTTGGCGAGAGCTTTAACCCCAATTACATTGAATGATGGGTTGTCTGCTAATAATAATAATTATGTTATTCATTGTTTAGACTAGATCTGTTGAACCAATGCCTGATCTTACCAAGATTTCTGAAGCTGCTAATAGGATGGAAGTCATGTTAGATGCCCTTCTTCAGTAAGTTTTTTTTTCAGCCATTTTAGCTTTATTTTATTATCTATGAGACTTTGTTTTTTGAGGGTTATGTCTTAGTAGGTAAACAGAGTGGTGAACTCTATAAAGAAAAATAAAGATTTTTTTCTCATCAGATTATCATAATATAGAGTGTTATGTAAAATTAACTTGAAATTTAAATGATTTGAATTTATGCACATTTAAGGATATATATTTGCACATCAAGATTTGACAATTATGTTTTTGATAATCACATTACAAATGTGAAGGAGACTGTGATCTTAAAAATAAATTGAAAAACAAACAAGTTAATTCTGCATGCTATACTTCATAAGTTTGAAAAGAACTGAACAAGCATAAAAAGAAAAGGTTATAAACTCCACAACTGTGATAAGAGAAGCTCCTAGAAATATACCTAGACTCCCTCCTATTTCTGACATTAAATCTCCCAATCCCTGAAAATTTTTATCAATCAACAAAGTCTAAATCCCTAAAAAATTGAAATTAAAATTTAAGAGAGTTTTTTTTCCTATTAAAAATTGAAAGAGAAGAGTTTTTCTCTTTACTTGAACTTGTTAATCAATGATGTTACCTTTCCCTTTACATCAATCTTTTTGTATAAGCTCTCTGAATAGTACAAGTTCAAAACAATGATACTTTTTCCTTCCGCTGAAAAAGAGGTGTTATATATTTTCCTAAAGACATTTTTCCCAAGGGCAACTTCCTAAGTGTCAATTTTCCAACTTTGCAATTTCCCAAGTGGAATCTTCCTAATGGTTAGGTTAGGTCTCTGAGGCAGCGCAGGCTGCAATGAGTGAGCTGTGGTTAGAATGGGCGAGTGGGCCGAGCTCTGCAACTAGATTAGACTAGAGGGCCAACTAGGTTGCTGTTTGGGAAACTGCCATTAGGGCAAAAAGTCTGGGGTAAAGTAATTGACAGTTTCAAATTTAGAAAGTGTCGTTGAAAGTTGACAATAACACTTTATATATACTCCTTGTAAAAAATGAAATGTACCATTTTACATATTGATTTAAATAAAATAAGTACCATCTATGTCCTCTTTGACCTCAATCATGAGAAAGAATCTTCATTTTAAACAAATCTAATTGGTTTCTTATCAAGTTTATGTATAGTATATTTAACTAACCTGGATTGTAGACCTTTTCAACATATTCTGGAGTCATTAGAACTTGGTTGCTTTCAATTTGGTAACCAATTTGTACACAGTCGTAATTACAGTAATCCCAGGAAATGTTTGTGCTTTGGATTGATGAACTTGGGATAATTTCAATCTGATCCAAATTTATAGAACATTTTGTGAGCTGTAAAGATAATTTATGTGATTTTTAGTTTTGTTTTTGTCAAAGTCCCTTTAAGTGTGTTTATCCTGCTAAAGGTGTTGACCAATCAATGTAAAACTAGCTGGAGGCCTGTGGAATTTAAAAAATTGATTTATAAAAATAGATTTTTGACGAAAAAAATTCGATTATTTAGCCTATGTTGCCCCAAGGGTATCCGTGGGTTTTCTAAAAAAAATCAGCCAAGTCGGTCCAGTCATTTGGCCAGCTTTAGCTAACATATATATATACAAAATATATACAAATATATGTATTTGAGCAAAGAGCTTTATTTTATAGAATAAGCCTTTGTTCATCTTTCCTTGAGAAAATAAGTTTAGCTCCTTTGATAATCTCCTCTGGGGAGCAAGTACCCTGAAATATTTCATATATATAATTAATAATAATAATTATTCGGGTGTGACCTGTTACCAGACATTATTAGTAATGCACTGAAACCGGAGACTAAACTGATTCAAATTTTACTATGCAGCATGTGCTAGGGAGGCGGGATCAGATGCTTTCACACCCTCTCTATGCCGAGAAGTGCTAGTCCTATTCATTTTCATAAGATTATTACTATTCATGATACAACCAGAGCTACTAGCCATAACACCAATGCTTCTTAGCATAGTAATATTGCGATGCACCATCTGATAAGTAATACATTCTGTCCGAAATTTCTGATGTGGCATAGAACCATTCTTTTATGTCTCAATTATAAAAATTAACAATTTAGCATTACATCTCGTTTTATAACATGCAGTCTTACATGAAGACTTTAATTTAAAAGATATCACATCATACTTTCAAGATCTAAGTATTATTTTAGACATTGAAATATCAGCATGAGTAGAAGTAAAATCATATAACGATCATGGAGGAAGGAATACAAATTAATATTAGCATTTCAAATTAAAAATCTTTAAAAAATTCAATTTCAAAATTTATATAAAATTACATGATTGTAAAGAGTTAAGTTTTTATACAGGTATACATTAAACTAATTTTACAAGTAGAGACCTCTTGCAGTGAGATATTCAACTTAGACTATTTTAAAGGCTGGCTGAAACTTTGAAACTTCTCCTTTAAAAGAGTACGTACAGGGTAGCAACATTCCGATACAGCATAGCAATATTCAGATTCAGCGTAGCCAAAGAAAATGATTAACTGCACGCCACGATTATATTACTACTACGAGGATAGATTTTCACTGCATCTAAATATTGTTGCTTTGGACAGTTTTAAATCTTTTACAGCACAGTGCAGCCTCTATGATTAATACCTATACTAAAATGAACCTGACCACAGGTTTCTAACTTAGCTCAAGTACTTTGTTGTACACAAATTTTTCAAATTATATTTTTGATAGTGCCATCAATATCCATTAAGCCAAAATATGGGTCAACTTACAATTCTAGTACTTTCCAGCTCAATTGGGCTAAAATTCATTTAAATTAGTGTAGAATCTGTGATTGGTGGTCTGGCAATAAAATCTGATGTCCGACTTAATTAAAAAACTGAACAAGAAAGGCATTGCAATTATTTTCAGAATCTTATTTAAGTCCAATAATGAAGAAGAAAGCTGAGTTCTTTCACTTCAGATCAAAAGTGAATAAAGTCTTCAAATCATAAGACCAAATTTTGTTATTATTATTATTAGTCATCTCAAATTGTCCTTGTGGGTGTAGGACATTTGTAACAGTTTGATTTGACTTGATTAGTAATATTTACCTCTAACAAGTTTGTTGTGCAGTTGTAAATTGAGGCAGTGTTTCTTTTCAGTGTATTCCAGTTACATTCATCCTCTCTAGATACTTTGTAATATGGCAAAATGGCTGTTACTCTTTTAATAGTCAGGGAATAAGATTTAAGGGAAGGTAAATGATACTGGTCCCACTGAAAAAAAACCAGCGACTTTATTCTATATTTTTTTCAAATCCTTAACAATGCACTTAGCCGATGTACTTGAATATAAGTTTGTGTTTGTGACTCCAGGGTACTTCAAGTAGAAGTTTAGCGGAGTTCTCTGATTTATAATTTTCTACATCTCCATCTAGGTTTTGTCATAAAGAGATTTGATGAAAAGCTTCTGGTGTGGAGCATCTTTGATGTTATTTGGTAGCTTGTTCCAGGTTTCGACTACACAGTTACTGAAGAATTTGTTCCTTATTTCTAAGTTGGATCTTTTTGGTTGGATATTTAGGTAAAATACTGATTGTCTGGTTGTGATGGTTATTATTGGGTCAACCAACTGGAGCCAGGTGTTTAGCTTTACATTTTCTTTTCCATGGATAATCTTGTAAGTCTGAATTAAATTGAAACATAATCTTCTATCAGATAAGGATTGGATGCCTAGTTCAAGAAGCTTATCCTTATATGTGGTTCCTGACAATCCTGAGATCATATTAATTGCGTTTTTTGAACTTTTTCAAGGCTTTCACAGTCCCCTATACTCCAAGGGTTCCAAACAGGTGTAGCATACTCTTAAGTGGGGTTATACGTAGGGTAAATATAATCTTAGAAAAACCTTCCTTAAACTTACAATAAACATGGCCAGTATCTTCCTGGACTGAAAAGCACAAATATCTAGATTTAATTTTCCTCTTTTGTACCTACAGTACACACACACTCTTTTGTACAGATAATCAGGCATTACTTAAGGGTTTAGTGTTCATTCCTTCTTAAAGTTACCTAGTGTCTTCAACCGAAAATCTTTATTTTAGTACACATTTTATTCTTTTCTTGAATTTAGAGCTTTTCTAGAAAATTTTATGTATCGCTTTTTGCAAAAATGGCCTGAAATTGGTACAGTTCCCATTTTTAAGGAATCCAAGGAAGAGAAATTCTTCTGTCCTGTTTAGCACTGTTTTGGTTATAGCTGAAATATTAAGCAATTTGGATGTGGGTTAAGAAAGATATGCAATGCAGGAAATTCTTAAATAATTACCTTGATTGTTTGTTGTGTTGAGTCCTAGAGCAGTTATTTGTTTTTCAAATGCATACTCTGGCACTGCTCTGGAGTTGAATACAGACATTTGAGAACCAAATGCATTGTAAGCTTCAGTACTAGCAATGTTTTTATCTAGGACTTGTCCACCATCTGTGCTAATCTCTAATCTGAATCATAATTGAACAAAATATGTTTTAAACCTCAGTCAATGTAAAAGTTAAAATTATGATATTGCTAAGTGAGTTACCTGAAGTTGATGCCATTTCTTAATCCAAAGTTAGATCCATAAAATTCTTTTTTGGTTCTAGAAGTAAATTTACTAATTATAGAATGCATAGACAGAGATATATTAATTGGGTAGGTTATGTGAAAATTAGAAGCAAATTGCTATTTTTGATATTCCATGTTGGAAGCTTCTGCTAAGAATTTAAGAAATATTAAAACTAAATGAATGTATTCATTGCATAAGAAAATTTTGTACATAGGACCATTTTAGCAATACTTATAATTTATTCCCTAAAGCACTTAGCACCCAGGACATAGACCCTAAACAAAATATTTTATTATTATTTTGATCCCTTATTGGAAATTGGTGTATTTACCGTGTTTCTAAGTAATCCTGGCAACATTGTTCACCGCCAACCTTAAATTTAAACTTGTTATGAAGCACTTGCTGTTTGAAAAAAATTGTTTATACCGTTTGTCCAAAACTAAATTCACAACTTTTTATTGTTTCAGAGCAGTTGTTTGTAATACGATCAAGTAAATCTAATGAGCTGTTATTAAATTCAGACAATTTTTCTTGGTACTCCCCTGAAAAAAATATGTTTTTTAATGATTTATGTAAAAAAAAAAATTAAAAGAAACAAAATTTTAAAAAAAACATACCTTTAAGTTTGTTAAGTTTTTGGTTGCTTATGCTTTGTGTGGTTGATAAAAAGTATAACAAATAAGATATGAAAGAGAGCAATTCTTTTTCAATTCCACTTGCTTTAGATCTTAAATATTCAATCCTTTTATAATTTAGCCCAGAAGGAGAGGCATATTCCAAATAGGGATTTTCACTGCTAGAAAAATAGAAATGGTATACATTTTCCTAAAGATAAATCAATATTAAATTGGAGAGGAATATTTCCTTTTTATGTTCCATGGAGCAGGGTCACAAATCATCACCACTGGAAACTTGTATCCCTTTCCTTCATCGATCTTCTCTTGAGTAGTTAGACTTGTCTGGGATTCTTGTCTTACAAATAACTAGTAACACAACATTCTTTAATTTTAGTCAATCATGCAGGCTTTTTTATACTTTGTGATATCAACTTTCAATAGAACATTTAGATAATATACAGGGTTTCTCTGAAAAAATTGAGTTTAAGCTTTTTCGCCTATTGAACATCATTTTTTGAACTTACAAATGCCTCTAGTTGGTATAATGCTCTGAAACGAAAAGAAACGTGTTGCTCTAAAATGTCGTTTTATCCTTCTAAAGTATGCTTAATATTCGAAAATGTTCTTTTTCCCTGTTCCGAATATTTTCAATAGCGTTTTCACCCACTAAGCGTCATTTTGTTGTATTTACAAGTGTTTCTACCAGATAATATGTCCATAAATTAGCGGTTGTTGATAAAACATTTTGATCCAAAATGCCAAACTGTACCTTGCAATGTACTAGGTCCCTTTTCCTTAGATTTAAAAAAACTCAAACATCATTTGTCATATCTTTTCAAAAACCCATCATTTTATCTTTGAAAATGCGCAATTTATTCCTTTTTCCAAGACACCCTGTATATTGGATCAGTTTAATGATTACCAAAACTTTTGGGAACAGATTAATTATCAGACATGTCAAGAAGATTGTAGTTATCATAAACCAGACAAAATTTGCAAATTTTCCTAAACAAATGAGATTAAGAACAAGATTTTAAATTAATATGCCAATTGTTATCTCACCTAAATCAACATCTATTATCTTTGCAAACCCATGAGCAGACATCTTTTCACAAAATCTAAAAATGACTATAGTTTTCTTTCCATTCCTAAGGTCCAAATCTGCATTTTGAAAATAATATCGAGGACAAATAAAAGGTTTGTTTGATGTTTTATCTTGAAAACTTATAATGGAAAAATATTAGATTTTGTTGGTTGAGATTTTATTTGAATCTTGATTTGATTGATTTTCTGTGAAGTAATATTTTACCTTCTCCCAAGATACTTAGTGGTTTCCTTTAGTCCTCTTCCTTCTAAATTTCTATTCTCATCCATATTGTCTGAAACTAGAAAAGGTATTTGCCTATAATTATTTATTTAATAAAATAAAATGCACCCCCCCCCCTTGAAAAATAATGTTACCCCCAGATGCTAGGTTTTTTAGACTCTCTGTAATGCACAAAATGGGTAGAGTTTTAAATGAAAAAAATTAATTTTTGATGTCTAATTCCCATCAGAGCATCAAAAAAATGTTAAAATATTATAAAGAACCATAAAATTTTATTTTTCTTAAAAAGTTCTTGATTTAAAGACAACCATATATAACCCACTTATCCTTTTTTCTTTTATCAAATGATAGTAATTGTAATTAAAATCTGAAATCATTATTCAATCAAAGATGTTATAAATATCTAATTAAAATTTGTGAGTAAAACTTGTACAATGATCATTGAAGATTGACTGGTATTTTTATTGTTATTGAATTAAAGCCAATTTATCTAACAATTTACTTTCATGACTTAGCAGGCCAAGTTTAAAACAACATGATGTAAACTCTTAAATGTTTGAACATATGAAAAGGAATGTGGTGGTTAGGTACATTTTCCCAAATAACCTCTTCACATAATGACAATTTGCCAACTGTTCTAGCAGCAGTCAGGCCTCCAAATGTGTCTCTTGAAGTTAATATTAAAATTTCATTTACGAAATCCAAAGTCATTTGGAAAAGAAAAAATTTTTGGTAACCAAAAACCAATACCTGAACAGTGAATATAAACCCTTCCAACAACGGAGGGGTGTATATTTCTTAAAATTCCCCCACACACAGACACTTTATACCCAAAAATATAATTATTTATAAATCATTTATTTTCCAAATTCAGAGAATAAACCCCTTTTAAAAATTAAAACTACACCCCTGCGGGGAACAAGATTAAGTTGAGCTCTGGCCTTCTAGTTATTTATCAAGGGTGGGTCTGGTTAATTTATTGGAAAACTTAATTATAGTATTTAAGTCAAATGTTCCACATTTACAAACATAATCAACATTATTTAGGTTATAAAATATACAGGTTTTTAATTTCTAATAAATTAAATACTAGCCAAGGGGGGGGGGGAACGCAACATTTTTAAAATTTATTTTAGTGATACATTTTGGTTTTTCAGACTAAACTCCAGATTTATTTTGATCCGCAGACTTCATATTTATTGTTTATTTTGATCCGCAGACTTCATATTTATTGTTTATTTTGATCCGGCAGACTTCATGTTTATTGTTTATTTTGATCCGCAGACTTCATATTTATTGTTTATTTTGATCCGCAGACTTCATGTTTATTGTTTATTTTGATCGGCAGACTTCATGTTTATTGTTTATTTTGATCCTCAGACTTCATGTTTATTGTTTATTTTGATCTGCAGACTTCATATTTATTGTTTATTTTGATCCGCAGACTTCATGTTTATTGTTTATTTTGATCCGCAGACTTCATATTTATTGTTTATTTTGATCCGCAGACTTCATCTTTATTGTTAATTTTGACCCGCAGACTTCATATTTATTGTTTATTTTGATCCGCAGACTTCATGTTTATTGTTAATTTGTAATAACATTGTTAAAAGTATGAAAACAGTTTTACATACACAACATTGTAAAAAAAAACTGATAAATACATAAATACAATGAACATTTTTTTAAGAATATTGAAAGAAAGAAAGAACGAAGGAAGACTTGAATTTGGAGATTTTTAATCCAAATACTTTATTTTCATAGATTCAAAGTTTTTTTATTTTCAAAAATGTGTAGGAAAATGCGTATTATAGTACCCATGTGCCTGATATTCAAACAAAATATTCATAATTTAAAGTTCAAAATTTGGGTGGGTGGAGGGAGGGGGGCAATTAAATTGAGGACTCTATGCCCCCAACCCCTCAGAATTATTCTTGTATACACCCTCTTGATCATAATAAGATGATAGTGGCACGCTAAACTAAAGTAAATTGCACATAACATTGAAATCTTGTGTGTTATCAATTAAAACTACCCTTAATGAAAAGCTAAGAAAGCCCCTCCCCCCACAAAATGTATTACTCTCCTTAAAATTTGAACAGTATATAAACATAACTTGGCATTATTGTATCAAGCTAATTTTTCATTGCAAACTCAAAAATATTTATATTACATTCATTTTTGGGTTTTTAACGAATATGAGCAAACGTACAAGAAGAAATACTACTTTTTGACAGTAAATCGATATTAATATTATAAACTGCACATGAACTCATTCTTGAACCATATATGTGCTCTAAAGTTGACCCCATATCTACCTTGCTAGCAGAATGCCGACCAGAGTAATCAAACTTATCTACCTTACTAAAATCTGCATATTACATGAAAAACATACTCCTCGTCCTCAAGTACTTCAGAATTGACAAACAGTATGTAAAGTCTGTACTGAGATGACCAATAATGTATCTGCTGGCTACCAGCACTCCATTCATATATTCCCAATATGTATGTTTACTCGAAATGAAATCCTCATGCCCAATTATTTATAAATCGAGTTACAACATGTACAATCGGTGTTAAGATGACGCATAATGTATTTTGACTTCAGAAATGAATTCCTCATGCCCAATTGCCTATAAATAGACACACAGAATTAAAAATCTGTGCTAAGATGACCCACAACATACCCCTGCTGGCTGCTAGCGCGCCAGTCAGAATGCTCCAAAATTTATTTTGACCTCAGAAATGAATTGCTCGTGCCCAATTACGTACAAATTGACATACTACATGCAAAATCTATGATGAGATGACCCATAACGTAACTTCTGGCTGCGAGCGTGCCAGTGAGAATGCTTCAATCTTTATTTTGACCTCAGAAATGAATTTCTGGTGCCCAATTACCTGTAAAACGACATACAACATGCAAAATTTGAGCAAAGATGACCCATAATGTAATGATTGGCTATCAGTTCTCCGGTCAGAATGCTTCAATATTTATTTAGACCTCAGAAATGAATTCTTTGTGCTCAATTGCCTGTAAAACAACATTTAATATGTAAAATCTGTGCCAGGATGACCCATAATTTAATGATTGGGCTACTAGTGTACCGGTCAGAATGCTCCAATGTCTATTTTGACCTAGGAAATGAATTCCATGTCCCAATTATACTGTAAATGTGATACTAATATTTGAGCTAATCAAGAGTAGGATTTCAGGATGATAAAGGGGGGGGATAGGAGATCTTACGTAGGGTTTAGTTTGGGTTGAAGATGTTATTGTTCGCTTTATTCTCTGACAAAGAAGGATAGAAATAGAGTTGAAATAAGATAAGAGGATAAGAGAACAGTCCCTTGAATACCCTAAATCAATACTAAATTTTCTCTCTCAACAAGATTGAGATAATTGTAAAAAATTCGTATTTTTTTACTCACTAAAAGCGCGAGAACATTGACAAGCAATCTTAGCTCAACAAGATTGATTTAACTGTAAAAAGTCGTATTTTTCACTCACTTAAGCGCGCACTTTTGCTCAGATCCGTTCAAAATAAAAAAATGCATGCAATAAAGATATTTTTAAGTTTGCATTAAAAAAATCAGCTTCCTACGACAATGGTAAGTTATGTTTTATACACTTGTTAAATTTCCTGGAGAGAAATACGTTTCATGTCCCTCTCCCTTTTTTGTTTCATTTCTAATATATAACCGGATAAATTTGGTTTTTTACACTTATATGTATATTCAAAACCAGAGGTGCTATGAGGTCACAAAGTGGTTGCAGTGATGTTTCACATATCTGACCTTCTCCTCCTGTCCAGTATGCAGTGGTTGGGTATATTGTTTACTTAATGCTTGTGTCAGGTATGTTGAGGGTGTTCTGGACGGAAGTATATCTCCGGACAACGCTGTTGGAAGAACAGTTTGGGACCTGGTACAATCAGTACCTAAGGTAGGGACTAGGGATGTGCTTTATTCAGTTGGTTCGTTTTCGGGTCATTTTTTTACTTATTTTTTTCAGTTCATATATTGCAAAGATAAATAAAAGCAAACTTTACTTAATGCAGACTGCAGTTTAAAAATCTTGGGAAGTTTTATCAAAAAAAAACTAAGTAATTTCCACGTCACATTTGTTCCGTTTTAAAAGATTCTTTAGTTTTCAATTTACCTGATTTTTGATACTTTTATAAAATAGATTTTTTCTAGTATTTTTTTTAATTGTTTGTTTTGTCGTAATTTCTTCATTTTCTCTGAGCATAAATTGTATTATATAAATAGGACAAAGTTCTTTTTTTCACAATGTTCTCTTATAACTCGATGAGATTTATTTTTGAGTGATTCGTATTAAATTCAGTTTACCATCTTACTCTATTAACTGCCATCTCTATTCTTGAAACCGCAGATTATTTGATTTTAATGTTTAGATGGATACTGTTGAGTTTGAGAAGATGTTGAACTCGAACCTGAGAGATCTTCTCATGGTCATCTACTTGTCCCAGCTGACCAAAACCCAACTCCAGCTCAACGAGAAGCTCTCCATGGTCTCAGTTAACAACATCAGGGAAATGGCAAAGATCATTCCGGAGTAAGGTAATATTTTTTTGTTAGTTAGTTGGTCCATATTTATTGAGCTTTTGGTGGAGAAATATTTTGATACATTAATTTTTCTCTTGTTCTCGTTAAATTGTTAAATGGAGTGTCCGGCTAGACATGGAAGTTGAGCTGAGAGTAAAGTAATGTAGAGAACTTTTTAGGATTAATTTGAGACCTAAAAGACGTTTTTGTCGTGTATAATTGTTCAGTTAGAGCGTACGTTTTTTTCATCTTTCGATAACGATCACGGAAAATGTAACAAAATTTCTCTATAATGCTGCACTCTCTGTTGAACTTCATGTCTAGCAGGGTACTCCCTTTAACCATTTTAGTGACTAGTTTGATATATAAAAAAATTAATTGTTCTGTTTTTGAATAATATTTATGCTTAAATCTCTGTTTGTGTTTAGGTGTTGAAGAAGTCCCTCTTGTCCACGGTAGACAAGCATTGATCTACAGACTCACATTTAAACTTATACAGTACATACACAACCGGTTTATTATTATAAATAAAGATCAACTATTTGTAAACAAACCGCTTTAGGACTTGTATAACTTGGTGTCTAGGTATTTGCAAGTTCCCCTGAAGGGAGGGGAACAGGGGCTTCGCCCCCCCCCCTCTTCAGAGGATATCTTACCAATTACAATTTCAGAGTGAGAGTCGGAAAAAATGGCGAAGGGTAGTATAGTTCGGAAGGATAAGAAGGAGGGGTATAAACCCGGGGCAGGGTCTGCTAACCCAGACAGGAAGGTGTCAGATCAGTCAAAAGGTGAACATAATTTTAGGTTGAAATTGGACAATCAATCAATACTAACAAAAGGAATAAGCAATCATTTCCCCCCCCTTTTTTAAATTCGGTGATGGTGATGTACCAAACCTCTGTAGAGTAAAAAAGTAGATGTTAGCACATTTATTGAAAACATACTTCAGTCTGGGTTGACCCTAGTCAGTTCTAACGATATAATAACCATCAAAATCGATAAAAAAAAAAATATAAAAAAATGTTTGTTAAAAATCACAAGAAAATTAACGAACAAAAAAGATTTTTAAAAATAAAAATTTGGACTGTCAAATGGACACAAGGGAAACAAACTCAGATTATTGATGGAAAAAAGATAATTTGCAAATATTCACTTATAAAAAAAATGTCTTAAGACAATTATTATTCCTTGAGATTGATTCTGTCACAAAGGTTAAAAACAAACTGTTTAGATGTACGTGTATAAAGTGGTGGTAGGGGTCGAACTCATTAACTTTTTGTAAATCGGGGGGAGGGGGAAACTAATTTTTTCCCAGAAGTTATATATTTTTTCGGTTTTGTTCTCTGAATTGTGGAAAAAAGTAAAAAAGTGATTTATAGGGAAAATAAAGAATTTTGTCCTTTAATGTGCAATTTCCCCCCCCCCCCCCTTCTAGTTGGTCATTTCTAAACAGTACATTATTCTGAGTTACCTTTTATGCAAATTGTGCCGAAAGGACTCGCAACATAACTCTTTTTGTATTTGGAATGTAACTAAATCTACTTTTTCCTCTCTAGAAAGGAATAGCATCGATATGTTCAATGGGTATTAGTGAATCGTTAAATGCACAGTACACAGTTAAAACTTTGGGCTATAAAATGTTTGTTGAAATTCATTGACCCCTCAATTAAACCTATATTCAAACCGTAGAATTTTGTTTTTATTTTAATTTAAGTAATCTTAAGTAATACAATGTTTTCTTTAAAAATGAAATACTTTAATTATCAAGGAATTGCAAAGCCCCGGTCAGCTGGAACGATCAAGAGGTTGGCGATGTACAAGAACTTCAAGGCGAAGAGGAACGCTAAGGGAAAGATTCTGAAGGCGGCTCCGTTCCAGAGCTGGGTGGACAGCGGGACCAGGGCAAGGTTTGTTTGATATATTTTGTTTGTTTTCTCTTGGTTGTCGTTAAAATCCCTATTCCCCGAAATGAAATTCCTACAATTTCACAGTTTATTCTGGTGTCAATAGTCAACGGGTTCAGTCCCTTTCTCAAAAGTTTTATCTTCAGGTCTTGAGATATTTTAAATATATTTGATAGTTCAGTTTTGCCCAGTAATTCTGTAATTGTTAAGGATGTAGAATATACTTTTGAAAAAATCAACAGTAATACAAAGAAGTCAAAAATAATAGTTGTTTCTAATTAGTTCTAATATTCCAGGGTTGCTCCTGCTAGAGGCTGGTTTAGTAACACAAAGGTCATCTCACAAAGTGCGCTTCAAAAGTTTCAGGAGGAGATGGGAAACGTTCAAAAGGTAAAAACAAAACTTAAATTAAAACTGGAAGGGTATATAATTCTTTGAAAAATACCCATTTTCCTTTTCTTTAATTTTATTTTTTCCTTATACGTTTTTCAAATTCCACGGGAAAGGCTGGACACTTCAGCTAATGTCTTTTATGACTTCCTGTTAAAATATAATATCACAGACAATCACCCGTCTCACAATCCTAACTATCCTTCCTTATGCCAAAAACAAATACCAAAACTTTCCCGTTTTGTTTCTTTATTTCTAAGCTGCAAATTCATTTCCACGTTCCCTCTTCCTTAAGTGAAAATTTTCGTTGTCTTAATATTTTCCAAAACACTAACCCCCCCCCCTCTCATCTCATTCCAACAGTTTTTAGCATAAATCAAATATAATTCTAGGATCCCTATAAAATTGTGATGAATCCAACTAAGCTGCCAATAACGCTTTTACAAGAAAGGTAAACTTTTGAACAAAGAAATCAGATTTAATTTTAATTGATTCAATTTTTAGGGCCAAGTATGCACGAGTCCACATGTTAGATACTGAACCTTTTGATAAAACTTTTGGAAAGAAATCTACAAGGAAACGTCCTAATATTAAGGTGCACAACTATACTTTTTTATATTAAATGAACGATAAGTTGTCTTTGGATAATAATAAAAGAGTTCTAAAAACTTTGAGGTTAGCTCTTTAAGGTTATGAGATGGTATGATGCTGTCAAATTTCGATGTTGAGATTTTAGCAAAGTACAAAAATGATAAAAAGTTTAAATTTTCAATCTGATTCTTGGGTTAGATACCGGACCTGGAAACCCTGGTATCTGGGGCAGAGAAGAGAGGAGAAAACTATGACGATTCTAAGGTAAATCCTAAATTAGATTTTTATTTAAAGGGACTGTAGACGGGATTTAAACTAGTAATATGTCCGATACACAGTGGTATTATTGAAACCTCAGTCTGAGCAAAAATGTTATCCCTGTTTTTTATCTGATTATTGATATTTTACATTTGCACCCCAGAAGGGGGCTCTGGGTTGCATGGAGGGGTGGTTACCTGATAACACTTGTGTTATTGGGGAGTCATAATAGATAGATAGACATTTGCGAATCTCATGTATGAGTCAATAGAAAATTTATATAAATTATATCTTTTTGAGAAAATTATATTCTCATTAATAATTTGACAAGTGCTCAAGATCAGACTTGTAACGCTTCAATCTGCGGGCCACCTGACATTTTGTCGACATTCCCTTTAATGGGTATATTTATTAGAGGAAACATGACTATGTTTATTTTTTTATAACAAATTGTCAAACAGCCTCATTTGTCATTTGAAAATTAAGTGGCCTTGCCCCCCACCACCACCCCCATTAGATAATGAGATGTGAGCCTCAGGGTAGTTCACCTGTTAGGATCGTATTCTTCTAAATACGATCTGGGTCAGGCCGCATGTTGGAAAATCAAGCAGATCGCTTTTAAAGTTAAATTTTGTCATTTAAAATATGGCATTAGTTTTTATTTATTATGGACCATTTCGAGGGAAACAATAATCAATATCTCCTTTAAACTATAATTTTATTGATCGTTTTCTCTTAATTTTTATCATTATATATTTATCATTTATATATATCATTTTAACAAGAATATATTTTCTTAAATTCACCTTAATCTGATCAAAGTTGTGGAAGATACCATAGTTTCTTTTGATTCGAAAATTTTTCATTTCTGAGAGTTTCTCCGTTCTTCTTATAAACAAGGAATGCACAAGTCACTTTCGGCAGAGAAACCGCATATGAAAAACACTTAACAGTTTAAAGAAACAAAAACATTGATATCTAATCCATACTTGAACAGAAAAAGCTTTCAAGGGAAATTTTAATTGTTTATTTTCCCGTCTAGGATAAGGATCGAGTTGTTGATGCTCCGGATGAATGGAGTGCTCCCAGAGAATGGATTTTTGGAGCAGGGCAGAGTAAACGTATCTGGAATGAGTTATACAAGGTAGAAAGAGACGATTTAAATTTCAATTATTTTTTTAGTTTTTTGATATTATATTTTCTGATCACATTTCTTTTCTTAATTTTTCAATCATTAATATTTTTCACAGTAGTGGTGNAGGCAACTTGTTAAATTATTTTTGTCACTTTTCACACATTTAATCATTTATTTCCCCAACTCGGCAAATAAAACCCTAAAAACGCAAGTATTTTTAACTTCTGGAGAAAAACTGATCTTCCTAAAGGGTGGGGAGGGTGTGGGTTTTTGAAAAACGATTTTTCGATAAAATACAAACCCTTGCTTAATTTTTCAGGTGATAGATAGTAGTGATGTAATTATCCAAGTGTTAGATGCCAGGGATCCAATGGGAACTAGGTACACTTACTTTACATTAATGGGAATGTTCTTATAATAATCCTAGTGTTAGATGCAAGGGATCCAATGCGAACTAGGTACGCTTACTTTACATTAAAGGGACTGTCCTCGTAATTATCCAAGTGTTAAATGCCGGGGATCCAATGGGAACTAGGTACACTTACTTTACATTAGACTGTCCTTGTAATTATCCAAGTGTAAGATGCCAGGAATTCAATGGGAACTCGGTACGCTTACTTTACATTAAAGGGACTGTTCTCGTAATTTCAAGTAAGCTTTAATTTGATAAGGGGGTATGTCGGATTCACACCAGTAACCTTTAATCTTGTTCTGATCTATGACGTGGGAGGTTTTTTCTAGTGTTTAATTCTGACAAAGTCTCTCATTGTTTCTACAGCAAAAAAATGCCACCAATCACTTTAACTGAAAAAATCCTGAGAATAATCAATTTTCAAAAAGTAACACATGGATATCTTATTCGTCTATTCTTGATGTAAAAAAGCATGACTTTGATACATACACTCCATAAATAGAGAGTCACTTCAGTGTATTGATCAACAACAGATATCGTTGGGAATAGTTTTAACAACCTATTTACACCTGCTGGAGTTTCATTAGTTAGTGACATGGACAAAGTATGCCTTACTCATTCAAATTTACCTTTCTGGCTTTACCTTCCCCTTTTCAACGTTCATATTNACTAGAGATTTGTTGATAAATGATGGATTGGACATAAGTGGCAAGTTGTTTCATCCTTTTTGATACTTTAATCCCAAAGATGTACTTATTTTCTCATTTTTATTTTTACCAATTTAGCTAATATAACCTTTAGATAGACATACCTAACTTCTGGGGAAAAATTGGCATATTTTGTTTTACTGAAGATTAGAGTACTTTATTGATTGTCATGATTTGTAACTCACATGGACTCATTAAGTGGTTCATAAGATTTATGATTTATACCAAAACTTATAACATGTCTTAAACAGAAATAAAAATATTTGGAGAACCATTTCTGGAGTGAACTTGGACCTTGGTTCGTTTTGTTGTAAACTTTTTTAGTTTTTCTTTGTTTTCTTCTAGGAGTCAGACAATTGAGCAGTATATAAAGAAGGAGAAAACTCACAAGCACTTAATGTTTGTTCTCAACAAGGTTGATCTTGTTCCTACCTGGGTTACACAGAAGTGGGTTGCACTTCTATCACAGGTAAATTGGGTTAAATAGAAGTGGGTTACACTTCTATCACAGGTAAATTGGATTACACAGAAGTGGGTTGCACTTCTATCACAGGTAGATTGGGTTACACAGAATTGGGTTGCGCTTCTATCTCAGGTAAATTGGGTTACACAGAAGTGGGTTGCACTTCTATCACAGGTAAATTGGGTTACATAGAAGTGGGTTGCACTTCTATCACAGGTAAATTGGGTTACATAAAAGTGGGTTGCACTTCTATCACAGGTAAATTGGGTTACACAGAAGTGGGTTGCACTTCTATCACAGGTAAATTGGATTACACAGAAGTGGGTTGCACTTCTATCTCAGGTAAATTGGATTACACAGAAGTGGGTTGCACTTCTATCTCAGGTAAATTGAATTACACAGAAGTGGGTTGCACTTCTATCACAGGTAAATTGGGTTACACAAAAGTGGGTTGCACTTCTATCACAGGTAAATTGGATTACACAGAAGTCGGTTGCACTTCTATCTCAGGTAAATTGGGTTACACAGAAGTCAATAGTGGCTTTCTAAAAGCGGCATAAAAAAAAATTCTTTTGAATGTTTGAAAACGCTGTTAACGTCAAACAGTCTAACTATTTTCGAGTTACGCAAGTATGAAGTTGCAGATCAGCTGTTTGAATTCAGGCTGTACACAGCGTGCAGTCTTATTTTCGAGGAATTTAAGCTGGTGTGAATATATAATATTTAAACAGAAAGATCTCTCTACTCAATGAACAGTCCTGGGGTATCAATAGTACCGTTATGTTACTTGTTACTTGCATTGCTCTCTTTGCAT